AAGAGATTACTGTGGAGGCAGCTGATGAAAACCATACGACCTGCTTATTGTTAAGTCATGAAGAGACATCAAAGTGAAGGAACACAAATTACAGAAGACTTAAAACTACTAGGAGCGTCAAAGGAAGTGAAAATGGTACTAGAAACAGGGCAGTTATAAACATAGTTGGACACAGAAAGAACAGTGGGCCTGTGCTGAAGACATTATGGGAGAGGATCTGGTGAAATTTGATCTTAGACCATCACCTAGGTAAAGAAATAATGGGGCAAGACTTGTAAATGCCACTGCGGGTGTAAGTCACCCTTGCGAGTGGCACTGTCTCTGTTGTCCTCTCTCCTCAGCCTCTTTTTTGTCATCCTTGATCAACCTCAGCTGGTCCTTGGCCCGATCTTCATTGTCATCAGCATCCAGTAGCTCCCCCTCCTTAGCAGAGTCACCTGCAGCCCCCTCAGGCTCCATCTTCACTGTCGTGCACGACCTCGCCAGCAAGGACGACGCAACACACAGCTCTTCCTTCAGCGGTTTATTCAGGCTCCTAACAGTAAGTTTCTTATGCTTTCTCTCTCTCTCTCTTCCCTCGAGCCCTCGGCCTATATGTGATCCCGAGCCCAATCCCAGTGCACCACGTGGGGATCGCCCATGGGTCCAGCCTATGCGGAAGCAAATCATGACAGCAGCCCTGGCCATATAAGGAGTTGTGCACAGAGAGCGCTCACCCATGGGGGTGGAAGGCAGAAACCAGCGCCATCTTGTAGGCGTGGTCCTTCGCAGCTCTCCACACTTCACATCGGTCTCATCTTTCTTCAGGGAGGTGCTGGTTTGTTCCGTCTCAGACGTATCATTTTTCATCTCCACTGTGATAGGTTCTGGCCCTAGTATGAATTGCTAAAATCATTATGGTGGTCATCTAATATGGCTGATGCCCTTAAAACAAAAACCTATCTTCCCAGGACCACCTCCCCTTTCTTGTCCAACTTAGCCCAGGACATAATTTAATTCCACCTTTCCTGCTGCCTCAGGGAAGACCCCAAACAGCTCCTCAGGTATATCTAAACATCCCCTCCAAACTCCACCCTGGCAAAGGTCATAAAAGCTTCAGCCTCCCTTTGTTCCAATTCAGAGAATCCCTCATCTTCCCCACATTCTCTCCATGTCCTCCAAGATACTAAAGCCCCTTTCCCTTTTTAATTCTGCCTGTTTTTATGCTGCCCCATGTACTTGAAAAAAGACCTATCACATTGCTTGTTTGCTCTGTTCCTTTTCAATTTTCTCCAGGCTTTCTACTACAGAATCCACTTTCTGTTTTATCTGGGTCAGCTCCTTCTTTTTTTTTTTTTTTTTTTTCTCTCTGCAACTATTCTTTTTTTTCCCCAAAGTTTTATTAATAAACAGATAGCAATGAAACAGTTTCAAATCAAATTAGAAGTACAGTTTCAACAAATAATACACTGCATATATTCTTCTTAGTGGTTAATTGCTGTACAAGATGTGGACTTGTGATCCTATTTACAAACACCATTAGAACAAATCATTCCATTCCTTAAGAGAATGCAACTATATATCTATCC